ATGGAACAATGCATATGCTTTTTATATAACTTTTCTAAGAAACTGCCTTCCATGTTCAGAGTTCTTTTAGAGCAGATACTATCCATCCAGGAAGGCTCTCTGATAGAACCCAGTGTCCAAGGTATTACATCTTTTCCTCCAGTAGCTGGGGCTGTGATTGAACTCAGTGCTAGTCTGTTAAAATGGTGTGGCAGAGGCATTGTAGTCTCACCATCTCCAACTTCATAAGGTGGGTAGAAGGATCAAGATCAACAGCCCAAGGCTAATTCCTGTGAGGCAAAGGTCAGACATGCCTCCATCTTCCAACCTTTTTAGTAATTCTGACACCAACTGTCCCTCATACAGCACTCTCTACTGGGTTGGATAATTTGTTGCACTGGTCACACAGAACTCACAGACCATACTCACAGTTGCGGGGTTATTAGGGATGTAACAGGTTACAGTTCAGGATCAGAAATTACTCAGGCCAGCCTCTTCCCAGCTGTGCCTGGAGACCAGTCTTTTGCTGGTCCTCAGCCCCTTGGCCTAGCCTCTTCCCTGCTTGGGCAAGTGTTACCAAGCTCTTTTAGCTCTGCCAGTAAGTGCCTAGAGCCACCCTACTCTACCAGGAAGCCTCCGCCTGATGAGGCTCACTTCTAGCTCTGTGGGTCAGCAAACCCAGCTCCATAAAGTGCCCAGAGGCACCCCATGCTGCCAGAAGGCCTCCTGCCAGAAGGTGCTCAGCTTTCTTGTTTCAGGGGCGGGGAAGCCTACTGCACTGTCTCATGCCATTCTTTTGGTTCTGCTGCCTCTGTTTCTCTGCCACTGCTTCTCACTGTCTCTCGCTGTTTCCAGTGTTACAGCTATCTCCTGGGTCTAGGAGGTTCCCACTGTAGGAGCACAGGGACTCCGGGTCCAAAGGACACGCTCTGCTCCTATCTCTTCTTCTCGGAAGCCCTTCTCTGCTCACTTCTTTTATCTCTTGTAAGATAAAAGGTGTGAGTCAAACAAGGGTATGACTTCAGTAAGGTCGGTGAGTCTTACCCTCTAGTAAAGTGGTGACTCAAGATCCCACCTCATTAACAGACAGCTAACACCAAAATGGGACCACAACCACAGGCATAGAACCTAGGATTAACAACACATCACACAATGGAGGACTATGGCTAGAAGGGCCATATTGAGTAGTTCACTGCACCACATTTTCTTTCCAACTGGTTGTACCCTCTGTAATTTCTTCTGTGGGTTTCTATAGACTTATTTGGACATTAATTGCTTCTCCAAAGTACCAACTACTTTGATCTCCTTTGACCTCATGACTTCTTCACGTTATGCGTGCAGTTGCCCAGGTCTCACTGACCTTTCTTTTGCCTACATTACTTTAGGCTGTCTCTGGCCCCATATCTCTGTGTCTCTACCTGACTCTTACCATTGCCTCCTTGGGCAAAACCAGTCCTGAATATAGTGAACACTAATGGCAATTTGGAATCAACACTGAATTTAAAAAAGGGTAGCATGGTATCAGTGCTCCAAACTACTCTTTCCACTCAACCACTGAGTGTGTGCAACTGTAAGCCTACAACAGTACTTTGTACATAATTGTTGTTGTTGTTATGTGCCGTGTAGTCGGACCC